CTAAACCTAGACCTCTAGTTATTAAGACTCTTGACCACAACTCCTTCCCTTAATTACTGACATTAGTTTCCACTTTGCCTTGAAAATCTGTTCCATTCATTCTTAAGAGATGGTTTTAAGGATTCAAGTCTTACATTGTGGCTGTTGATCCATTCCATCTATAACAAGAAAAAAAAATAATAAGAAAAGAAAAAGCAATGTAAACGAGGTAAGGCATGCTCTCATTGCAGTGGCTAATAATTATGAATAAAGCAAATATATTATATAGCCACGAAAAATTAGGATATCTCATTGCTATGGATAGTAATAATATAAAAAGAAAATGTGTAATAACAAGTATCAAAACTGAATATACATTAAGACCGAAAAGTTTTCGGAAATTCTCATTTAAAATTCGCGCGCTGTATATTTTTCGATATTTTAAGTTTATGTAGTTTGGCAGCAATTAAGGACAATTACTATGCCAAAAATGAGCGCGATCTGTCAGACAGTTCGTTTACGGCAGCTGTTGAAACCAGTTCACCTCAGTAGTGCGTTGCGGAAAAAACAATGGAAAAAAATATTGAACAAAGAGTTTGCATCAAATTTTGTGTTTCGAACGAAATTTCGTGTGCAGAATCGTTGCGAATGCTACAAAAGGCTTATGGGGAATCAGTTTTATCGAAAACTCAAGTTTATGAGTTTTACAAAGCCTTTCAGGACGTTCGTACGACCGTCGAAGACATTTCGCAACGCACTACTGAGGTGAACTGGTTTCAACAGCTGCCGTAAACGAACTGTCTGACAGATCGCGCTCATTTTTGGCATAGTAATTAAGGACAGTGCTGCCAAACTACATAAACTTAAAATATCGAAAAATATACAGCGCGCGAATTTTAAATGAGAATTTCCGAAAACTTTTCAGTCTAAATGTAAGTAATTATGAGAATAAGCTAAGTTTATCCAGAAATCCACAATCCCTCCTGAAATCCACAGGATTCATACTTGATTATATTGATAGAGAATTTCTGTCTTTATTTGTATCAATTATTTTTAACATTTTTTTTTTAATTATTATTGAATATTTTGATTTAAATATGTTTGTTTTAAAATACTCTAAAACTCCAAGTTCATTGACCATTCAATACCTCATAGTGTCCTTCCATCCTTCCATTCAAGGTCGTAGATACAAAATGAAGCAATTTACGCTTTTAATATCTTAAGACTGTAAAATTTATGCCCAAATGTACCACAAATTGTTTTATCAACCACACGTTGTTTAACAATTTACCACATTTATCCTGCTTATGTGTTTCCAAGGATATTGGATTGAGTTCTAGCCCAACTTGACAGCTGAGCGAGTTCGTAATTTTCGTACACCAACATGTCCCACTGTTAACCATTATCAGATCTCATTAATACGCTCCTAAAATCTGGTAAAAGTCAATTTCTAAATCATACGAAGGTCACTTGATGTGGTGCATTACTATAGTATTATTGTAGTATTACTGTAGTATGGAGTTCGGAGTTCGTAGGCAATTGCAGTGTCCAGCAGATACACCGTATCAGCCTTGCTGCATGCATCATGTTGTGTGGTTTATTGCGTTATGGTTTGTAATATTTTTATTATTTTTCGCTTTATGTTGCTAATAGCAAATCAGCAGCATTTGTTAATTGAGGTCGTTATGCTGATTAATGTGGCAATTGTTGCCATAATCGTTTGCCCTTTCCTGTCCCTATTCTGGTGCAGCACAGTCACTGCAACTGCAACAGCACCCACATTGTCATGGTGAAGCATAGTGAATCCGTGCTGGTCGCAAAACTGGGATTTTGTTTTTAAAATGCACTTCACGCCTTTTAATGGAATTCGTTTTTGTAGATATTTCATCTGTTGGAGTTCATTTTTGTCACATTAAATAGATACATTAATTTGTACTAATAATTGGTAATTATGTGTGCAGATTGCATTCGATTAGTCAAGTATTAGTTTTGCTCTGCGGTGTGGACGAAACTGTTAGCCTTGAATTTTGTTAATGTCCTTTTCACAGATACTTTGTGAGGAAGGAGATAAAATGAGCATGTCTAACAAAATAGTTATAATATTTAACAATTTTTTTTTAAAATGTATGCTCTTGTAATTTATTTAGAAAAAAATTAGCAAATTAAAGCAATAATTTAGATAGCACTTCGGTTCAAGACAGAAAAGTTGTAGTATGAATATAAGCACTACCAGAATTGGAAGAGTTAGGAAAGTGAAACTTAAATATAAATTTCTAACTCTATTGAAGTTTTATATTGATTACTCTTTAAACATAAAGTAGCAGTAAGGGGTTTAAGGCATCTCACCTCACTATCAATACATAATCATTATTTAAACAGAAAGAAGATACACGGTGTATAGTGTCAATCCTTAATTATGTAGTATGCGTCTTTAATAAACACATACACAAGTATTATAATAAAGATTGTATAATATTGAACATAATGTAATTTATAGTGGTTCATATCATCTACCTTATTCCCATTTTCTTAGCATTACCAAAATGATTTCTTAAAATTTCACAGCAAATTAACAAAACTCCAGAAAAATGTGCGAACATAAAAGTCAAGTACGGTTTTCGGTCAGTTGATTAAGGAGCGCTGACTCTGAGCTTCAAATTTAGCAGGGCACCAGTTCGATTTCTGGTACTTGCAGTCTCAAAAAATTATTTACGAATTATATTAAATATAACAATTATTTCCACAACCACTATTTGGCAATATTTGAAACAGCTGTATGGTCAGCAAAAAATTCAATTAATTAAAATAATATAAAAATGCATTTTTATTGTTGTAATTCACTACTTTTCAAAAACCACTTTACAAAATGATTTCCGAGATCAGTATTCTATTTCCAACTGCTTTGGTCTATTAGGTGTATAAGTTCATTGAATACTTAGTTTCATTTACAAAGATTGAAATCAGAAAAAGTTATTACTTCTTTGCATTTATTATTACTATATAGGTATATATGTCACTATATCATTGAGCTTTAAATTAATAAAAACTAATTATTTATTTATAAATAAGAAAAAACAAGCTTTTCGAAGACAGCACTAATGTATTTTAGATTATAATTGCGGCATTAGCGGCAATAATATAAAAGTATTATATTATTGTACTATATTATAGTACAATAATATAATATATATTATACAACTCAATGGAATCGTTGAAAATAAGGACTATCCGTTCCAATGTTAAAATTCCACTTTTATATGAAAATCAGATCTTGAATATAACTATCAGCAGTGCTCAGTGCGTGTAAATCATATAACATCCAGTCGCATATCGTTATCCCGTTAAATTTCAAAAAGAGGCAACTATCTTTTATTCAAGAAATAACGACACTGCAATATAAATGACTTGGTCACAATATATGAGGGTTACAGAAGACAGAGTAAGCAGCAATCTTTACGGATTGGAGATTCTAGAATCACCCAATCGAATCAATGAAAATGGTACTGTTTAATATATGAATTTTATAGATCTACTTTCATATAAGAGTGGGAATTTTAATATAACTGTAAGTAACTGAACACAATTTGATATTATTATCAAAATTATGTTCAAAACTTGGCAACTGTCCACTAATAAAGAAACAATGGTGCTAAGATAAAGAGATCTAGTTATTTGCTAAATTAATGCTGAAGACTTTACCAATAATCCAAAAAAAGCTGAAGATACATCCACTTAATATGTGGGAAATGTTAAGCGAAGTTGAATTTACGCGAATACTTGAAATATTCTTACATACAGATGACCACATGTAATACAATTCTCATATGCTTTAAATAACAAAGAAGCTTATCTGTAAGCTTCTGTTTGTAAAAATATGTTTCCCGAAAGTTCAAACATTTTTTTTGTGTTTTCATTTATGTAAAAATTGTTGTTGGTAACTTTCATCGACATAAATGTTATTGGGACTAATAGCTTACTGAGAGTTGATAGTTTGATCCTTTGGTAGCAGCGTGAAGGGAGTCTTGATGACTTGTGAATAGAATTTAAAGAAAATTGCAAAAAAGAATTATAATTTTAATTAATTATATGCAATTAATTTAAATTCATGAATTACATTAAATTAAATTAATTATATTTAAAGTAAAAATTCACAAATTCTAGAATCAATAATTACCAAAAGGTTTGGCCTTGAGTTCACTTATCCCTAAAATTAAATTAAAATTTTAATTTAATTATTTTTGCTTTATAAAACTATAGAGTAAATAAAATCACAATTTTTATTTAATTTGTAAAAATATATTTTATATTTTTTGTTGAAATTCGTTAGTTAGGTTTTTGCTAGTTTTTCTTTCTTTTTCTTAATTATTTACATTAACTTTTCAGTATGAGTATTAATTAATAACTTACAATAAAATAAAAATAATGATAATAAAACTTAAAAAATAAATAATACAATGGTTTTACTTAAAAATAAATATAACATTTAATAAAACTTTTTATTTACAGGCGAAAAAAGGAGCAAGTTTGAAAACATTTATTTGACATTAGTGCATCTGCGTGAATGAGTTTTAGTGGCGAGCAAATTCAGTTAACAATTTAACTAAAAATCGACAAATTGCATTTCCGTTTGATCAATAATTTCCATTTAATAATTTTTCATTTAATTTAAATTGATTTAATTTCATACTACACTTTTTTTTAGCTAATTTTCCAGTAATTTTCTGAAGGACGACACTTAGTAGGTTTTTAGTGGATATTTGTCTGGTGTTGGGAATGAGGAACTCTGCATACGATTTTATGAATCTAGCATAAAAATTCGCCAGAATTCATTCAAGAAATTTAATAAATTTTTAAGGATTTCTTCTATTTTGTTATTATTTTTTTTGTTGGTTTTCAATGATGCACTTAAGGTGCATATCCTTTTTGTTTGTTGCTGGTGGAAGGATGTGCACTATTTTTCACTACAATTGCATTTTTGCTTGGAATTTGGTACATTTTTTTACATACTTTTTTTTTTTAATTTTTAACTTAACACTATATCACAAATAAATTTAAGTTCTGCTTCTCAAGTACTATCACAAGAGTGGAAGAGAGAGCGGGCACTACTCCTCAAATACAAATCCGTTTCATATCAGTTACCGCTTGCGTATTGCATTTGCCGACGGCATTTCACTGCTTCTCGCTAGCATCTTCCGTTTGCATTGAGCGCAGCAGTAACGCGCCTTAGGCACTATTCTGAGCTTCAGTTCCACTGCCAAGTACATTGGCCAAGTGTAGAAGTAGTCCTACTTGCTGTGCCGATGTGACCACTCAGTAGGGACGCCAAACTGTCTTCTGTACACTGTTGGCTGTCTTGATTTTTGTGGTGGACGGCACTGTTATTTCCGGAGATGTTTGTCTTTGTTGCACGGACTCATGGAATAGTGGTTTCATTACGGAGGATGCCTTTAAATCGCAACGCGAACGTTGTTGCGTTGGTGGTGGCAGTTGATGCGTGGGTGAGGAGCGTGTTGAGTCGATGGATTTGTCAAGATCTTCAGTGGAGCTGAATGCTGGTAATTGGGGCCTCAAAATCGGCACAAAAGCTGACTTGACTACATCGATTTGCTCATCATCCGAATCCTCATCGGAACAATCCACAGATTGTTCATGCAGTGAACTGGTTTCGACTGATGAATTTAGTTTACTGATCGGATGTTGCGTTGGGGGTGAAGACGATGATGGGCGTGATGAAGCAGGACTTATATGTGCAGGACTTATATGCTCCACTGGTCCATGTGGCGGTAGTTGTGTATTTCTCATACGCAGACCAGCGATATTGTAAGGATGAAAAGCATGTGGATGTGTTTTGTGTTGTGCATGTAATAGTTCAGGATGTGCAGAAGCTGCTGCCGCCGCCGCTGCTGCAGCTACGGGATTGAAAGGAAACTGTGGCATGCCATATGCGGAGCCTGGTGGTGATGGCATCATACTGGCAGCCGCTAAGGCCTGATTTGAAGGCATGGGTGGTGCACCATTTGGAGGTGGTGTTATTTGTGTGTGATGGAAGTCAACTGGTGCACCAGCCGGTGGTGGTATTATAGTTGTACCGGGTAATGTGGGTGAACCTTTCGCCAGTGCTGGATGATGCACAGCAGCAGCTGCTTGATGGCGGAAGTAGTCGGCATAACCGTAGGTCATATAGGCTGCATCCAACCAAGCAGGATTTAGCATGAAGGGATTGAAAGCACCCGGATGTGGATAGCCATAACCTTAAAGTAAATAAAAGAAGAGAATTTGTTAATTTTAAACGAAAAAAAAGTAATGAAAGGATAACTCAAAAATGTAAATGAATGAAAACGAAAATCGTGCAAGAAAGCAACAGAAAAATTAAACAAACTAAAAAACTTACTTTGCTTACTTCTTGGCTCCCGTGGTCCATCCACAGTGACTTTAATAGCTTTTGTATAGGAGGCGATCTGCACAGGATATGTTGCAATTGTGATGGTGAGCGTGAATGACTTGCCACGTCCGGACCGGCCGACAAAGCGTAGATCATTGAATTTCGCTACTTGATTCTTCATGATGGCAGTGCAATTGCGCAGTTCCCCACAGTAGTTCTCGTCATTGCCACACTTGATGGAGACTAGAGTGCCATCGGGAACATCGTCTAAGGCGATCACTTTGAATGCACCAGGCAGAGATTTGTTGGAACGCCAGTGATTGGGCAATGCGCTGCAGAGTACGGAAGGTGAACCGGTCTGTGCAAGTTCGCCGTGATATTCCTGTAGCATTTCATGCAGGCTGGCGAACATGTCAGTCATGGACGTAGGCATTTTGACGGCGGGGTTACTGTTATCCGGAGTAGACGAACCTGTCGAACTGGCGGAATGTGTGCTATTGTGTGTTGAGTTGTTGGTATTGGGTGTGCTTGGCAAGATTTGTGTGGGTGCAGCTACCATTGTTGGACCGGCTGGTAAATGCATACTTAAATCTTTAATCCTTGAAGCAAGTGGAGGTGTTATAAAATCCAAAATGTGTTTAAGTTCGGCGAATTTGTTTTTAAAATTTTATTTATGATTTAGTTTTCATTTAATGCAACTTTTCTTTTATTTTTTTCAATAAAAATAATTCTTTGTTTTTAAAGGGAATTGCACAGTTATTGCTTGAAGAACTGTCTATAATCTTTATATTTAAGGGTCACTAATGTTCTTAACACTTTTAGTTTTGCAAAATTTCTTTACGTATTTTGCATATTTTTTTTTTTAACTGATAACGTTTTCCGTAAAATATTTCACTTAATTACGTGCCGTGTTTTGATTTTCTCGAAAATCTTTTGAAAACTTATAACGCCACGCGCCTGAAACGTCTTTGCTAGACAAAAAAATTTATTCCGTTCTTAACACGTTAAGGTCGCTGAGTGAACTAACTCTCCGTACCGATCGTCGCCTGTATTTGAAGTAAAAAATTGTGAATTTGTGAATTGCTCGTCCAATGCTTGGCTGAGTCGATTTGTTGGTTGGTTGTTGGTTAGCTCGTCCCCGCATGTTACGAATATGTCCGTCCATACAGTTTCAGTACGTAAGCAGGCCATATACCTAAATGTTAAGGGTGCAAGCGCAGGCAATACAACACACACACACTCGAACACTCAAACACAATGCTAGGAAGATAGTAAACAACAGGCAGGTATTAAACAACCACCATTGCCACAACAACAACCACAGCAAAAAATTTCCCATTTTTCCATTGTGGCGAAGTACGCGCTCGTTATACACTCTGGCATACACACAAACAAATGTTATGCCATAGCGTTGTGTTGTGAAGGGACAAAAAGGGAAAATATATAAAAATTGAGCAAAGCGCGCGACTGTGAAAAAAATCATTTTGAAAATAAAATAAAAATAAGTTCAAATAAAAATAGAAAACAAACTGTAGCAGAGAGCAAGCAACATGGGGTTGGGTACTGGAAACTGTGACTATACATATAAACGGTGAGCAGAGCAGAGCAGGTCGTAAAAATGTGTTACAAACTCTTAAGAAAAAAAATTATTGTGGTGTGTTGAAAAAAGTCGAAGGCAAAAGGCAAAGCGAATACAAATGCAAAAGCAGAGACAGCGGCAGAGGCGCAGGCATATTGTGTGAGCATGGAAAATGTGGAAAAATTGAAAATAATAAAAACTCAAAACACAGTGGCACCCAACCGTGTGCATTGTTGTTGCTTTTGCTGTTTTGCCGTTGCTCTCTGACAGTGTTTCACAAGTTCGTTCACAGGGGCAACTTAGCAGGTATTTTTCTATAGAGTTTTTCTCTTTAAAAGACTTTATGACACTTCCTCACTTAGTTAATGTTCTTATGAATATATATCAATTGTTGTGTTGTTGTTGCTTTGATTTACAAGAAATTTTAATTATTACAAGTGCAGAGAGATTTTCATTAATTTTTAATAATATTTAAATTAATTTAGAACAGTAAAGTTAGGGGAGAATTTGGATCGAAATGCCAAAATCATAGCAGTGCTAACAGGCCATTGACCAGTGGGTGCCCATGACGAAACGTTCGGTATTTTCTTTAGCTAGAAATGCAGAAGATGCAAGAAATTAGGAAAAAATTAACCGTTCAATTGTTTCTTTTTATTTTATTTTGCTTCTCTAAATACTTATTTCCGGTAACATTGAGCACCCATGCCGAAAAATTGGGTATCTCTTAGAACTTGAATTACAGTAGTTGCTTTTCCTTTTTGTGAATACCCAGGCTTAGTAGGCATACCCCTACGTAGATTTAAGAACTAGTGAACCTGGCAGACATCCCATATATAGATCTTACAAAAATAATTTCCTTTATCAACCGCAGCAGTTGATTTTTACAACTTAAATAACTGGATACATGAAATTATATAGCGTCTATACGCTACTTTGGCAGAATATAATACTGTGTCACCACTTAAATGAAACTAAAACCATTAATTAACTTAATAAATAATAATTATATATTAATTATTAATTAATAAATAAACTCAATTTATTAATTGAGTTATGCCAAACACTGCTCCAAATTTGGAGTTGTAAAAAATTCATAATGCAGTCTGAATACATTTTAATAAATATTAATATGTTTATTAAATCTTCTTAAGTCCTAAATGGACCGGATAGTTCTTTGTGATACCGACTTAAATCACATCTTCAACCACTTCTGATATGGCCTATAGTTTCAATATTAATATTTAAAAATTTAATTAAGCTGACTTTGCTTATCTTGCCAATGTATCAAAACAAAATTCGCTCCACAGATTTAATTCCAAGGAGATAGCAAAATAATGACATATAAATAATCTACTTCAATATTACAGACTTTAAAAGTCGCGATGACCCATAGTTACTTTTAAAAACAGCAATATATCCCATTGTTAACCCAATGTTTGCTTTATTAATGCGTCCGAAAAGTTCTAATATGCCCAAATTTTTAACCACAATTACAAGGAAAATGGAATCAAAACGGCTAAAACTAAATTAAAACTCTCATAATATTTCGGTTCTTAATATTAAAATATATATTGTAAATTATATATAATTACTTAAAACAAAACTATTTTATATATAGTACAAAAATATATCTAACTTTTATCTAACCTACCTTTTATTCTTGTATTTTGCTAACCGCAAAAGGGTTAATTTTATCTCAGATTAGCAAAGGGTTATAATTATGCTTACTTAAAACAGTGTCTGTTATCGGGTCAATTTAATCCTTTCAAGTCAATGCTTTCATTCAACAGATCATACCTTCATTAACAACGCCGTACTGGTCTCGCGGTAATTCACGACTGATAAGAATTTGATTCTTAGACCTGTATTCGGTTTGGTAATAAAATCTTTATATGGATAACAGGTAGAATATATGTAGTACACTAAAATTCCCCAGCAACAGTTCATTCATGTTTTCTTTTTGAATATGAGCGTATTTTTTTGAATACGTACGTAATTCAAGTCAGTATAGACTTAGAGGTTGCAAACTACTGATAAATTGTTGATTTCAATAGAGTAGAGTTGTCATATTATTTTTCAAGATATTGTTGTGTAAAAATCAAGAAATTTAATCTACTTTGTTATTAGATTTAAATAGTTTGCAAAACCTTCAAATTTTAAATAGAGTCAAACTTCCAGACTTCGAGTTAAAGAATTTTTTGTTGTTGTATGTAATTTGCGCTTTAAACCCTGTTGCACTCTATCTAATTCAAGTTATAGAAAATTTGAGTTATAGAAGTTCAAGTTATGGAAGTTTGACTGTATACTGACTTTGACAAAATGTATTAAATAATAATTTATTACCGGGATAATTGGTCAATTTAAATAGAAATAAAAACACTGTAATTTATTATTTATATTTAAAAATAGTTTATATTTTATTAAATATTTCCAAACTGTATTAACAATATTTTTTCTTGAACAAACACGAGTATTGCTTATTTACATTGAAACTTTAGTAATTTAACAAAAAAAAAAGTTGGGTACTAGAGGGTTAAAAATAATATCTCTCTAACTGCATTCTTTATCAAAAAAATCTCCAGCGATTAAAAAAAATTTAACCCATACTACCATAAAATAAATATTTTTGCACATCGTTTGAGAGTGGTACTTAAAAAAACCAACAAAAACTACTGCCCACATGTCACCCAAACGTTACCCACTCACCTAAGCATTCACCCGCGCACATGTGCAAATAAATGTAAACAATCTCCAACCAAAATAACTTTTAAGTTAATCAACAAGAAAATCAACCAAAATCTCCACAAAACGAGGGGTTCCACAGCATAAATCCGACACAATAATAGTAGAAATGGTCGAAGCACTGTTAACGACACATTGAACGTTGAACATCGAACAACAAAAACAAAAACAAAACCAAACCGACGTAAAACGGAAATGTGGAACCAAAAACAGCAACCAAAATGCGGAGCACCAAGAAAACGCAGAAGGACACAAATACAAAATGTCAAGATAATAGCAGAAAAAAAGAAATAACAACAACAACAGCAACAGCAAGAAGAAGAAGTGTAAGCATACTCTTAATAAATAGGTGAGTGTATTAGGGGAGGCAGCTGCCGACGACGTATGGAATTTGTAGGGAGCGCAAGCAATAACACCAACCAAAATGTCGCGAGCAACGTCGCGTGACGTACGACACAGTAGGGAGTCTCTTGCTTAAGTATACACCACACTACACTCAACTACACTCAACTACACTTAACTACTACTTACAAAAGTGTTCGCTCTTGTTTGCTTACAATTTGATTTTTGTTTTTGTTGTTGTTTTTTATTTACATACTACGTTACCTCTTAAGTGAGTTCAGTTGCTTTATCCTTTTCAGTTGCATTGCATTGCAAAGTGTTCCCTATAAGAACAAAGTGTGGGTGCGATAAGGATGCACTTCAAGAACTTTGTAATTTTTTTTTAATATTTATTTTTTTTTCCTTACAAATCTTGAGTTTTTATTTCGTATGCAATTTACAAGAACAACAAACATGAAATAGAAACATAAATTGCTGAGTACATTTTTGTAAGGTACAATTTGCAACGCTCAGTGCCGTTTTCATTCAAGTCCTGCTGATCTGCTGATGTCGGCTCTGTTAGTCGTCGCTGGCCGTTCGCTGGTGTTGCATGCCGAATGCAGTTGGCAGCAAGCGGAGCATTTCTAAGTTGACAGCAAGGACATTATCGTAATTATTGGCATATCCTTGTGTTTTGCCTCAGTTCTCTGATGTTTCTGTTGATGGTAATAATGGTGAAAGCGTGGCCCAAATTGAAAATGTCTTGGGAATTCTGCACCTTAAGTGTGAAGAGTTTTTTATTTTATAAAAAAAAACAGAAACTAATAGGGTTTTTTTTTGCACTATTATTGGAACATTTATAAAAATTTTTAATTTTTTAAAAATAATTATAAATTAATTAGTTTATTAATTATTAATTATTGTATTATTATTACATTCCTGGCCTATTAAGGAAAATATGATATGATTGAATAGATAGGTCAGTACTATAATTATTTAAT